ACAACATATTATTTGTGAACGGCATACCAAAACTAGATCATCTGTTTATGCGATCCCGCTGAGCATATCTACCTGACCAATCGGTTGGAAGTTGTGTCGAGGAGTATACCATTTATTTATTTATTTGCTTACGTCTTTAGCTGGGATCTTAGTCGTTGATGCGTTTATTACAAGCGTGCTGAACTTAGTGGCGAATTGTTAATAAGTGCAGCTCTGGAAGATCATTCAGTGGTCTCGATAAGATGACCACGTTGAAGTGCTCTGCGTAACCGACGTAGCTAAAAAGTAGTGTTGCACAGTCGCTGCGTCCCAAGGGGCTACCCACTGCTACTGTGTCGACTATAAGTTCCTCAATGGTAAACAAGAAGTTCAGAATGACTTGCTTGTAGCCCCTTCTGAACTTCCACCGAAGAAGTAACGTGATTGTGAGGCGGTAGGCCAAACACTAGCTTTTGCTCACTGATGGACCTGAACCTCAAGAACGTTCAAGCTGAAGTCTCCCACAAGAAGAACTTTTTCGTAAGGTGGTGCTGGACGGTTGTCCACTCCTAGAGTGGATATTGGAGGGAGGTATGTGATGGTAACCAAGCAAGTGTCCCCAAGTCTTGGTTACAGGCGTCACCAAAGTGAGTCAACATTACGAATCTCTGGATCATCAAAGATTTCATGACATAGGTCATTGGAATGGCACAAAAATGCACCACCTCTCCTACTAGGTAGATCTTTACCTAGGATGAACCTTACTGGTATAGCGATCTCAGCATTCGCTGTTTTTTCTTTCAGCTAGGTCTCCATTATCGTGATCAGGTTCCACTACATCGAAGCATGACGAGCATGAAGCTCAGATAATTTGCTGAAGAGGCCATATGTGTTGGTGCGCAAACAAGTGTTTCTTAAGTCAGAAGCGTAGCTGAGGATGCGGGTGATAGGTGCCAGCTTTCGCCAACCCTTGTGAGGTCGGCAATTATTCGTTTATTTGATGAGCTGAGCTTCTTCATATTGGTTGCTAGAAGACCCAGAGGATGAAGTCACGGGTTCTGTAAGTATTGAGCAAGTCACTTCCTTTTTGCTAGCTAGTTGTGCCTCATAGTAGTCCGTTTCGGAAGCCAGATTTACTAGGGTCAGTGTTAAACTCTTGACCTTGCACTCACTCGTTCAACTATGGTCTGGTCTCAAACGCATTTAGACGTAGCTGTGAGGGGGGAGGGAAGCCCGTTACATTACTTGTGTAACATTTCAAGAGCTTTTTCCACCATGTGTTCGGGCTGAAGCGCTGCAGTAAAACCAGTCCGATCTTTCCGATGGAAGCTACCTTTGTCGAGGACTAAATACATTAGTAAAATTCTTACCCCCGGATTGCAGCGCAGGCCATGCGTTTGTCTACCTTGTGGACTCAATCGATAAGCAACACCGAGGTCCCATCAGCATCAGGATTTGGTGAAGATGAGAAACAAGTTAGCTCTTATGCCACAAACAGCGAGGTCCACTAGATGTTGTGTCGCAATAGGCAACCGGACGTGCGCTACATCACTGCCCTGAATGATGCAGACTTATCAGGTCATGCTCTGCAATACGCCCAACGATCACCCGTTTCAGATTATCGCGGCCATTAAAGCTGTGCTGGCGTGAGTGAAGGTTTCGGATGTGCAAACACAGCAGCCGGTTATGTTTTCTGAATCAATCATCCGATTGTCATCGCACGCAAGATTGTCTTTTCAATCAACCATATTGCCAGCTCGAGAAGCTAACATGGCGTGTCTAGTTATGCAATAGCGCCATTGATTGCAATTTCTTAATATTAACTCTAGATCATTCAATCTCTTTCAAGTTGAACATCCCATTTGACACCCTTATGATTTCACTCTTATTAGCGATTTTTGTCATATAATCATGTGCCATGACAGTTGTTTCTCATCTTCACCAAATCCTGATGCTGATGGGACCTCGGTGTTGCTTATCGATTGAGTCCACAAGGTAGACAAACGCATGGCCTGCGCTGCAATCCGGGGGTAAGAGTTTTACTAATGTATTTAGTCCTCGACAAAGGTAGCTTCCATCGGAAAGATCGGACTGGTTTTACTGCAGCGCTTCAGCCCGAACACATGGTGGAAAAAGCTCTTGAAATGTTACACAAGTAATGTAACGGGCTTCCCTCCCCCCTCACAGCTACGTCTAAATGCGTTTGAGACCAGACCATAGTTGAACGAGTGAGTGCAAAGTCAAGAGTTCATGATGCAATCTCGGACCATAGCCGATAAACTGATTCCCCTTCCATTCAGACCAAGTTGTTGTTGTAGTTGTAGTTGTAGTTGTTGTTGTTGTTGTTGTTGTTGTTGTTGTTGTTCTTGTTGTTGTTGTTGTTGTTCGTACAATTTGCTTTCTTCATCTCTCTCGTTAAGGAAATAGGCGCGTCGTGTGCGGTGTTTTAATCCCCCAAACAGTGGTACCATACTTTTAGTTGGTTCAAATGTGAGCTTCATCACATTCTTTCCTTGAGGTCGCTGTCATTCTCATCCACTACGGCCAGGAGAGTCGTGTTTATACCCTGTGAAAGCGATGTATCGTTGTTCACATATCGAACTTCATGCTGTCTTGCATTAATAACAATAATATTAATAACAACGGTAATATATCTTTTGAATTCACGACAGACTGTGTCCACAGTGGGACAGAACAGTATTTTCCGAGTCCACATTTTCTCACCTGAGAAATAAAATTATATTAAAATAAGTAGTATACGAGGCATAATAGGTAATGAAAATACATTTTCTGAAACGGTTTCGCCGTGAGTGCTGTTTTTATCCAGTGTTCGGGCCTCAAGTCCTGGAGGTCCACGCTTTTATGTCCACATGGTGCTCAGCTACAGATATAAGGAGTGAAAGAGAACAGTTAAGAAAACGTGTCTAAAGCACCGTGAAATTATGATAGAAGGTGGAAATCGAGTTTAAAGGGAACCAAGGTTCCGATACTGGTTTAGTGACGATGTTAGTAGCGAGGTTGCCAACAGTCCAAATTTATTGTTTGGATTGAAAAAAGAGATAGGCCAAATGCTTGAACTATTGAGCTTCACTGTTGGAGTCACTCACAAATAACTGAAATCGGTGTAACGAAGGCAGGTGATTGGCAGGCTCACACACATCCTGTCTGACAATAGTATTCATTTCTTGGTATTCTACGTAATTGAATGAGCGCCTTGGTTTCGTCGATCGGGAGTATGATGGTAAAAGCTAAACATTTGGAGTAGTGTCTGTCATACACTTCTTCTTCCTTACACGATGTAACCTACTGGGTTCACCCGGTCCACAGAATCGATTCAACAGATCGGTGGGGTCAGATTTATGCGACTGCCCACGCTTGTAATAGAGTGCCTTAGATTAGAGATCCGATTGGCTGTTCATCCGCAGAAAGATATTTGGCGCATCCATGTAAAGGTGTACGTGATGTCAGATGACGAAGTTGACTGCAGTGTTTCCGTTAACTGGCCGGACGTGACTATGCAATAGCGCATAACCTTCGACTTAACAATATGAAGGTGATACTCCAAGAAGTAGAAAACAATGAATCCGGAGCCACAGAACACGAATGAACCAGTGCGCTAAATTTGTTTTGGCGGCTGCGCAAGAGAAGACACCGACGAGGCAGATAACCATTTAGTACGTGAAATTATGAGGCCATCTAAGTGTACCTCCTAGTGGCCAAATTGGCAAAAACAAGGAATTGAGAGTGATACCCGGTTCATCTGAATTGTAAGCTATGAATGTAAAACTGCACAAACTATGTAGACACTGTCGAAGCTATTAATGTCAATGTCATGGGTTGGATGCTTCCATCGTCAAACTGAGCCATGGTAAAAGTCTAAATAATGGGTTGTAGTTTCATGTTACAACCCGAAAATGTGGTAAATAATCCTATAAAGCACATAGCGCGCACAAGGAGCTACAGACATACGGGCCTCACCTAGAAAAATCTTGGCTGGAAGTCTAACTCCTTATCCCGACTGAGCGTTGCATGTGCTCACTGTTAGCGGCCACGGACCAAGTAGGTAACTTTCCCAGGTTGGATCTTATATAGTGCCTCCAGGAAAAATCAGTACCTCGGTGATCCTCACTTTGAGTCAGATAAAACAGGAGCTGTAAAATTAAAAATTATCTGGTCTAACTGGAATTTGGCAGTCGACGTTTGGATGAAGAAGTTAGAATGTCTGCGCACCACCCTTCTGTATTTACAAAAGTATTTGTATTTGTTACTTTTCAGGTCTGAGTGCCCGATATTACATTTTTGCATTTACCAACCCTTGAGTTGCAATACTTCTAAAGGAGAAGTAGACACCACGCGAACTTCGTCTACTTGAACGAAGGTAACCCGTCTGCCACACGTGCCTTTACCAATTATGCATTGTTGCGTATTGACAAATGGTGCAACATGAACGAGTTGTCACTGTGGACGGTTTCGGTGTGGCTGTCTCCCATCCCTGCACTCCACGACTGACGGTTTCGTCTTGTTTTATACTCATCAGGTAGAGATAGCCGAGCTGGGAGTGGAACTCGGCGCATGGTGCTTGGCGGCTATCGTCATGATTACTAGGCCATTGATCTCCGTGAGCAGTATTGTTCGGGTTTTGGAGCAGCCGCCAAGTTGTCACAGTTTATTGTGCACTCACACACCTGATCTGCGCCTGGTCTGAAACGATCCTCTATGGTGATCGGAAAGGCATTCGTAATTACTGATGCAAAAGCCGATAGCTCATGTGTATCGGTTGCCAGTACTCAGTAGACTAGCAAGAATTATGGAGCAGACGGACATGAGTGACATAGACAGTCTACTCTGCCTCACGCAAATGTAGCGGAGAACAGGAATAAACCTAGCACTATCACATAATGGTAAATTTTTTGTATTCGTGATTGATATCTCGCCACTCTTTTTCCGTCCATGGTGTAAAACGACATTATTCTTCAACTTCCTTCCGTTACAAATGAGTAGTTCCCTGTTTCTTACTGCAGGCAGCTCGCCTCAACCGAGTTGAACACATCAACCTTCTCCTCATGTACGGAGCAGACGTGAATAGTCGCTGCAATCGTCCCAACGTTCCAGTGTCAAAAGGTTTGCACGTCACGAGCAAATCGACAGCAAATTTTACACCAGGCGACACACCTCTACACGTTGCCGCTTGTGCCGGTCAACGGGCCGCTGTAATGCGGCTTTTATCCTGGGGGGCCGATCCTACATTGGTGAACGCGGCAAATCAGACGGCGATGCAAGCTGCACAAGCAAGCGGAAACTCGGACCTCGCGGAAGTCATACGCTTGTTCAGAGGAGTATCGCCCAATGGGGAATTTGGTAAGTGGGTGAGAAACGATATCCGTTTAACTCTTGAGTAAGTTATCTCCGGTGTATCGTATTCAAGTCGCACTATCACGGAAGCTGATTGGTAACTACTGACAAAAATGATTGCCCCAGGTCTCAACCGAAACGGTCCGTCATGCCGTATGTCCAGATGCATTGGGTTACAACATATCTTCCCACCGTATTTACAATGTTTTGCTTTAACCCCAAATTTTTAAAGTTAACGAACTGTTTATAATCACTCGAAAGAGCGTTTTTTCCTATACAAACCTATCGCTACTATTTTTCTAACAACCTAATTCCGTCCAACTTTAGGTAGCTGAAATGATGATACAAGTGGCAAAAAAACCAATTTCCAACGATTGCATTATTTTGCTTTTCACTGTGATCAAAAGTATCTCCATTTAAGAAACCTGAAAGTTAGGTGAAATCAAGTTATTTGTAAGATGGTGGCAATCGATTTGTAGAGGAATTACTCTTTCGAATGACTGTCCATTTTAATGTTTTCGTCCCAGGAGCTCACCTGCTACATAGCACAGCCTGGTCCAGAAAAGCACCAGACGCGTTTCGCCCTAGTGGGGCTCATCTGTGGTGCGCGTCCTCTCGGTTCCCTACCGGGATCGAACTCATGACTGTTAAAAGCAGATGCCAACTAGCCAGCAGCTTAAGCCACTGAGCCATGGGGGACGTCCGCTGGGCTACATAATTTGTAAGCTAACTGGGATATATCACGACCTATCTTCCACTGCCACTCAGGTTACTACCCTAGCTGATGACAGTGGTTAGCCTCCGAAACTCATAACTTCCTCTTACTAGACGCTACGTCCATAGCAGTTGAAACTAGGAGAGGCTACATTTTATATTATTAATGAGTAGGACGATTTTACTTCAACGTTTTCGTCCCAGGAGCCAACAAGCTACATATCCCAGTTAGCTTGCAAATTATGTAGCCCAGCCAACCTGCCCCATGGCTCAGTAGCTTGTGCTGCTGGCTAGTTATCATCTGCCTGTAGTGGTCATGGGTTCGATCCTCATTAGGGGACCGAGGGAATGCGCACCAGTGACGAGCCCCAATAGGACGAAACGCGTCTGGTGCTTGTCCGGGCTCTGCTGTGCTATGTTGCATGTGAGCTCCTGGGAGGAAGACATCAAAATTATACTCCTCTTACTCATTAGTAGTATGTCCATCTTGCCAACCTTGGAAAATATGAAGTGCAAACAAACAAAAATGTTAAAACCCAATACATCACTAACCTACGTAGGTTTGGCAGTCATGAGAAGTAATGAAACCGGGATTAGTGGCTTCAGTCAAAGTTTAGGTAGAGAAATGGTCTCGTTCTGTGTCACAATGTTTGTAGGAAGTTCTCTGGGCTGTTCTTTCTGGTGACCTGTCACAACGGTACAAGCGATGTTCAAATTAGTTGTAGCCATTTGCAACCACTCCACACTAACTGTGCTCCGCGAACGTGTTCGAACACAGCGATTGCCGAGGGCAATCTGAGAACGATAAAGTCAAAACCTCAACTTGGATGATCGATGTTGAGCTCATTATCCACTGGCTTTTTCTACTCTTACGAAGTTGAACGCGGTAAAGCTTTTCTCTCTCATTTCTATGTAAGAGCATTCAATGAGCATATCAATGAGGTGTGAAGCCTAAATGGAACGGTGAGCCATTGGTGTGGAACAACTGACAGCCTGGCTTTGCACTAGCATGGAATGACTTCACGCAGTACGCTGTTTTTGTTTGTCGTTTACGCTTATCTACACTTGCGGAATAAGTTTGACTCCTGTTCATTGGGGGGTCCTGATTAAGACGCACTTTGTGAGCGAAGTTACTACAGGCAAATGTGAGTAAAAAGGATGCTCAATGCAAAGTGCTACTAACACCCATGTGACTACTCCGAGAGCTTTGACACTGAAGTTTTGTGCATACTGTCAAGCTTTCTGTCGGGACACACTTACGCACATTTGGCAACCGATATTTGTCAGTACAGTCAATGTGGGTGCCTTTCACCTCGATGACATGCGCCACTGAGTGGAAACCTTTGCTCTAAGCGCAAGGCGCTGCATTGGCCTTGTAGCGGATTCCAGGGTTAGCCTCGCTGACAGTCATCAACAGCATATTATCACACAACATGAGCACCGAATGAAGTTGAATTCAGCATCGATTGGTCGTCCGTGCTAATTTGACCCACTGGTCTATTTTGCCTAAAAGCGTTGTGGTCACGTGCTTCCCAACTGTGTTCACAAACATTTCTTGCTGAGCTAGAAAGACAGTACCGTTTTTACGTAACGCATAGGCTGGTCCACAAACTATCGATCAGTGCTTGAGACTGGAATGCCGGTAGTGACCAAGCACCTTTGAGTGCTTGTGTGCGCTCACCGGTATCAAACAGACTCTCAATCCAACATCGCAGTCACGATAGCGAGAAAACGAAGGTCTTGAGATTCTGGTCTGGTAACATTGCTGTTACTGTTTTCTTTTAATCTCTAGATGGGGCAGATTGCAATGTAGTTAGCGAATAGAATACAGAGTAATTTTATCTAGGTACGTTGGGACCATACGTGTAAAATTTCTGAAATCACTGTCTAAGTGGACATAACATAGAACGTTCTAGCTAGAGACGAAAATTTCTACTCACTAAGCTTCTAAGCTTATACAAATCAACAGATTACTGATTCGTGTCTACTGTGTAACAACGAAGTTATGAACAACGCATGCAAACTCGGGTAACGCTTCAACCTTGTTCGTTTCCGTCTGTCATCAGTGGTTCAAAAACCAAATGTAGAGAGTGAGATAGAAATAACATGTTGCTATGGCAGCAACAATAAGCAGTAGCAAGGCACAACGCAAGTAGTAGGGAGATGGGAGAGTGTATCTGAGGGGGAAAGAAAGATCAATTGCAAGAATACCGTAAACTCTCTGACTGCGTCACGTCACACAATAGTGATGATATCATTTTTGTGTTCAGTTATCAGAAAGCGTTCACAACGCGTCTGTGTATACAAAGGTATGGAAATTGGCTTCCGTTGCATTATAAACACGCTCCAGGGTGATAACATAGGCCCAAAGGAACTGTACCAAAGGACACGTGAGTGAGGGCAGCGGATTTTCCCGTAACTGACCCTACCACCATCACTTGGAACTTGAATCCGCATGGCAGTGTCTCAGAGCCAGATCAAAATCCACGAGGATCGGTGAAAAATTTACTAACAGTTGCCTCACACGGGGTCAGCATCTGGACATCATTCACCAATACGAAATCCGGCGAAAAAATCTTGACATATCCACCTAATGCGGTGACTGGCACTAGAGCGTTGAATAGTAGAACATTTGATTGTATCTAACACTGACACACTAATTATGGATGAAATCCCTAGGTTGAATGGGTCACCTCCACGATCCACAAAGATGGTGTCGGACAAATTGGCACCTTCATAAGCATTCGTGCGAGGTACTGCAGCAAAGCACAAAAAGTCGTTTAGCTTTACCTCGCCTGCAGTATCAGCACAGCGCATTCACATAATAAATAGCAGCATGGATGGATAAATGGAGTTGAAACTAGTGCTTACTCAATGAGTTGATACCCTATCAATTGCTCACGTCATGGCTTGCAAGACCTACTTGACTGGGGCGCAAAATGTAGCATACGGCCGACGATAACGGCGAATCAATCGCTTACAATTTATTCGACGTTTCAATGCACTGGTCATTTTGCTGCACAGCTGGTCAACTACAGTCCTCCCGAGGTCATTCAACTGATCTTGCAAGCACTTTGATTGGTCGCCGGTTCTTTCAAGCGCCTAACCTCAGCATCCTCTTGCTCGGGTTTGCGTAGTGTTGCTTCCGTTTCCCTGTGTTCTTTTTTCTAAACCCAAGTATCCTTGCGGCAGCCTATCCGTCTTGGTTACTTCAACGAAGTAAACGGAGCAGGCGCATGTGTCTTATTGGGCCTATATTGTACCTGCGGAGCGCTTTAGTATCAGGTACAATGACACCTTAACTGGCGCAAAATTCAAAGCTAACACTGTGGGTGAAATCACTCTTTTGAGGAGCTTCCCACTTAAGGTAGCGGAGGAAGGAGTGAGAAAATCACGTAACAAAATCAAGTAGGCTCATGATAACCACCACATAATGTTGTCGGTCCGAGCAACCACGTAGTCGGTAGGGATCGGGACTAACTCAGTCCGGTGTTATCTACATATATAGTTCTCTCACTATTCCAACCCTTTTACTTGTTTATTTACAACGCCGACAAAGAAGCACCAGTCTGCAACGGAATTATGCGTAGTAATCATCATCATCATTATACACGTTAGCTGTAGGTAGAAAACACCTTAGCTGTTGTGCCGCAATACAAAAGACAAAAAGACAAAAACAAGGAAGACACACCGCTGAGTCTCCAGTAACGGACGGACATCGTTCCGGAGAGCTAACAGCCGGCTATCGTGCCGCAAAAGGAGTTATATTACGCCTGACGAATGAGATCGTAAGTAAAGGGGGAGAATAAGCAGCAGGGGAATGGAAAAAGGTACGCACAACCCAAATGCCATTGGGGCCGGCTCCTAGCCATATCAGCAAGTGTGTCCAGCCAAACGTGTTCACTGTCCTTAGGACCCAAGCCAGGCAGTCGGGATGCACCAACCGACGCCAACTTCGAAGTGAGGGTTTTCATTTCTCTCGACCAAGTCATCACTTGGCCTCCCCTCCTCCTCTTCCAACCGCACCCCCGGCGCGCAAACAATGCACGTCGCGGAAGTCGGTGTGCTGGCATGCGCATCACATGGCCTAGCCATCGGAGCCTTGTGCTTGATATACTGGTGCTGAGCGGTTCACTCGCTCTTCCTGCACCAAATACACGACGCCGAACATGCTCATTGCTCACGCGATGCTCCCACCAGACATGAGCTAAGCCACGAAGGCAGCGATGATCGAACGAGAGCAGCCACTTTATGTCTGTCCACCTGATGGGTCAGGATTCACAACCATATAG